ATATTATCATTAAAACACATGTCCGATTAAACACGTATTTTTTCTTTCATGAAAACAGCACTTGTAAGCCTTGATAGATGTGTTATTCATGAGCCATTGAACAAAAATAACTTTAATTAATTATAATTTTAGGCGACTCTCTTAATTTGATATTTTATAGTTTCAAATTCTTTGCGTCATCGAGCCCAATATTTATATTTTGATATTACGGTGCAATATAGGGGATTGATGTTCCGCGAAAAGGTATAAAAGATTCGCAATTTACGATATTAATCATGGGGTCAAGTAGTTTTACTTGATATTTCCGGCGCTTTATACAAATGCATAAATCTATTTTAAACGCTAGATACACGTAAACTCTGTTATCGTTAGTGATACAATATAAATCAGAAATGCCTGTTTCTGAGCTTTGGAGCTCTTTAAGTTTAAGTTTTTCTGTCGAGATACTAAATTAACCAGAAAGTAGTAAAAAAGTATTTCTTTAAGTTTGACTCCTCCTAAAAATAGTAACAATATTATTATGCAACCTAGTTTTTGAAAAGGTGTCGAAATATTGTCGTACTTTTTCATGGTTCCAGCAGCAAGAATTTTGTAAGCGTTTTATGGATACTGAATCTAAAAATAAATGGTAAACAACATCGCAATGTGAAATTCTTGGAAATGATCAGTAATTCGCGTAGAATGTTCTTAGTTTTGTAGTCTAAAATTTGTTTATTGATTTATAACTGACGAAGTACTGAAAACAACTCAAGAAAAATACCAAAGTTCTTAACTGATTCATGTGCCTGAATAATTGCGTCATCCGGAGATATGTTTGTATACCTTTTGAAATATTTTCTTAATTTCTTGTAAGATAATAGTATAGCTTTTAATTTTGTAGGAATTAAATGGAAAGTATGACTTATTGCGTAATCATCACTAGCCTTGAAATCCTCATTTATTCGAGATTCTGCAACTATAGTTTTATCATTATTGATATTATTGTACAATTGAGCATCATCGGTAAAGAATCATATTGCAGCATTTTTCTGGGTTCTTTTGGGTGTGGATTAAAACACTGGATTCCATAAAAAGAAATGCACTAATTTATTTAACATTTATATGCATAACTAGTTATGTCCGACTAATTCTTATGTCACCATTGCACAATACTTCTCTCCGCTCTGCTACTCTACCGAATTCCGTACTCTGCTCCATCTCCCGGCCGCCGAGTTATATGTAGTCCCAATTGCCGCTTCGAGAAAGACTACAAAGCGGCATCTAGAATATTGGAGGTGACTTCGCGTCGATCTAGAAGGCGATCCATTGTCGTGTGAAGGCAGAGATCGGCCATTGAGCTCTGACGAGTAGGAGACTCGGCCAACAGATGGCGCTGTTTGTCACAATATATTGCGATATCTTTCCACCTTGTCTAGATCAGGTATGTAAAGAATAAAAAGGGGTGGTATAAGCACTGTTCCCGAAGATATTAAAGTTCATAGAAATAACATTTTTAGATCTTTTGAATTCCAGAAAAAATAGTTTATAAAAACAAAAACTTTGGGATTTCCGAATAAAATTTTCTTTGGCCTAAATTTTAGGTTAGGAACAAGATACTCAGATGCCGTTTTCACGAGCTTTAAAGTCATTATAATCATACAAAAATAGTACCAATGCATTTAGTTTTTTTGAGAAAATTAACCATTTCTGTCGGAATATCGAAGAAAGCCCTCTAGCGGCCACATGTAAAATCATAAATATTCAAATATTATAAAATTTGTAGCCCATGAATAGCTCTTTTCAACTAGGCAAGTTTGTTAAAATTTGCTCGAAGATACAGGGTGTTTATACGAAAACCTTTGAATACCCCCCCACTTTATTTTTAGAGATACAGCAAAAATTGTCAAACAAAAAAGGTTCAGATAATCCTCGAATTAAAACATCAGGTACTTTTTTGTTAGGTGAATATAGAGGAATTCACAAAAACATCACTTTTTTAGATTCAAGATTGCTGTCACGCCCCCTACCAAGCATTTCAGAAACTTGATAATATTTTTCAGGTTTTCTGGTGGCCGTTTTAGTAAGAATTCCCAGATATAGTACCTCGCATTCTTAGTTGACCCTGTACATATATTACTGTACTAATCATGACAGCGTTGCGTAAGAAATGCAGAGTCAACCGACTTGACGCCATTTTTCCAGGTATATTCTAAGATAACGGAGCGCTCGACCGATAACGCACCTTTGTCACCAATCTTTTGTATCCGTTCTACATCAACTCCGGAACAACTTTACACTGAACATCAATAGCTAGAATAGATAGAAAGTAAATGGAAGGTTGGGCGTCTTGCCGCTGCCGCAACGTAGGAAATCGAGCGTCGAACGTCGCGGCACGACGCGAGGCGTCCATCAGCTTACATCATCTTCTTTATATAACGCGCCGCGCCGAACAGAAAACTATTCAGGTTCGTTCCACATGCAGCAGCCGATTGAGCTAGTAGATTTGAAAAGAAAGCGTGCGTTGTCGACCAGTCGACGAAACTTGGTCTGGTCCTCCAGCGTTGCCAGATGGGTCAGGCAGAATTCCCCCAGAACAAGCACAAATATCCCCCAGCTTTTTCGATAAAATCCTCCAAATCACACACCATTAGTAGGTAGGGGTGATTTATAACTTTATTAAAACAGAAGTTATTAATAAAACCTGTAGGGACCTTAAGCGGGAGAGTTAAAAAAGGTAATTATCATTATCAGTGTATAATTCGTTTTATTTGTGGAGGTTGAAGGCGAAATGTTGGTATCAAATGTCACCTAGGGAGAAACAAAAATATTACGCTGAAGCTTGTAAGAGCAAGACAAGAAGGCGTTGAAGCCGTGACAGGAGGAGGCGATTCAGACGCCGCATGAGATATTGACATTTTTCAAACCAGTGAATGCATCCATTTTCAAAAAATAATGTGTTCTTTGGGTCATTAAGCATTTCATTACAAACTACCTGTCTGCTGGCTTTTGTTGGTGCTCTCAAGTTGTATTACCCTTTCTGTCCTTGTTTTGCTTCAGGATACACCCGTATCCAGATGTGATGGGCATACAAGGTGTCTGGTAGGAAAAACGAAGCCCTGCGATTATTAGGAATTTTCCCCAGCTATCCATTGGTACCCTTGAATTTAACCTCGACCTATGACCTTCTAGGAAATTTTAAGGTCAAATCGATTTTTTTAATGGAGCCCCCATTTTTAACTCGATTAATGAAAATAGCGGAAGATTTTGCGTTCAAATCTGGGTCCTGGCTATTCTTAAATTTTGGTACGATGACACAACTTGAAAGTCAAAGGAACTACCAAGACATTTTCATGATTTTTTCCTGGATAATCAATAGTTATCTTGGCCATGACTTTCAAGGTCATTTAAAGGTAAATTCTTGTTTAATGGGACTGTATACTTTTGACCGCGACCAAGTCTATATCTGAACGTAAAAATTTCCGCTCTTTTCATTTACGGGTCAAAAATAGGGCATTTTCGACTGGACCTTCAAATTACCTAGAAGGTCATCATGATTATACGGTTAGATCCAAGGTCACCATTGGATATCCGGGGAGAAATCATGAAAATAATGTTGTGGTAGTTTTCCTATACGACCACCAGTTGTCAAGGTATATCACCGTACCTGGGTTTGACCTTGGCCATGACCTCCTAAGGTCAAAGTTTAGGTATGGTCATGTCTATATTTGAACGTAAAATTGTCCGCTCTTTTCATTTACGGGTCAAAATCATGGCATTTTTGACTCGACCTTCAAATTACCTAGAAGGTCATCATCATGATTATACGGTTAGATCCAAGGTCACCAATGGATATCCGGGGAGAAATCATGAAAATAATGTCTTGGTAGTTTTCCTATACGACCACCAGTTGTCAAGGTATATCACCGTACCTGGGTTTGACCTTGGCCATGACCTCCTAAGGTCAAGTCAATATTTGAACGCAAAATTGTCCGCTCTTTACATTTACGGGTCAAAATTAGGGCATTTTCGACTCGACCTTCAAATTACCTAGAAGGTCATCATGATTATATGATTAGATCCAAGGTCACCAATGGATATCCGGGGGAAAAGCATGAAAATAATGTCTTGGTAATTTTCCTATACGACCACCAGTTGTCAAGCTATATCACCGTGCCTGGGTTTGACCTTGGCCATGACCTCCTAAGGTCAAGTCAATATTTGAGCGTAAAATTGTCCGCTATTTACATTTACCGGTCAAAAATAGTGCATTTTCGACTGGACCTTCAAATTACATAGAAGGTCATCATGATTATACGGTTAGATCAAAGGTCACCAATGGATATCCGGGGGAAAAGCATGAAAATAATGTCTTGTTAGTTTTCCTATACGACCAGTTGTCAAGCTATATCACCGTACCTGGGTTTGACCTTGGCCATGACCTCCTAAGGTCAAGTCAATATTTGAACGTAAAATTGTCTGCTCTTTACATTTACGGGTCAAAATTAGGGCATTTTCGACTCGACCTTCAAATTACCTAGAAGGTCATCATGATTATACGGTTAGATCCAAGGTCACCAATGGATATCCGGGGGAAAACATGAAAATAATGTCTTGGTAATTTTCCTATACGACCACCAGTTGTCAAGCTATATCACCGTGCCTGGGTTTGACCTTGGCCATGACCTCCTAAGGTCAAAGTTTAGGTATGGTCAAGTCCATATTTGAACGTAAAATTGTCCGCTCTTTTCATTTACAGGTAAAATTCGAGGTTACCATTGAACAGCTGGGGAAAACTCCTATCAGTCAAGGGGACTAGTTTTTCCATACCATTATGAGTTCACAAATTATAGTTCGGTGTTTTCGATGCACATCCATTTGGGCCTGAAACGCAGGTCGCTCGGGTTACCAATCCTTCTATTTCAGTTCCTGTCCCTTAATTGCGGTCATGCTCACGATTGACCTTTATTTTTCACGAAAACGATCTTCGGCTCGCTAAATAGTTTGTAGACCAGCAGCAGGAACAGACTTTGTATATCGGTGGGACGGCGGCGAGCGGCAGTGGCAACACACGACTCTCTCTTCGATCCCATCCAATCGCCAAAGTAGTGACCTTAGCGCTACCGCTTCGCGCACTGTAGCGCCTGTCGTGTAACCCAGTTAGCTAGATTTCGCGCGCCGCGCACCGAAATAGAGACATTTACTGGTGTGTTTCGCAATCGATCTGTTCGCTGTACCTGTGATTAGTTAGTTGCGTTAGTGATTAGCAGCTGTCACCAGGATGCCGAAGTATCAGGATCCACCGCCGTACGGCCCACCGCCTGCAGCACCCCCCAGTTACGCACAAGCAGTTGGGGGTGTCCCACCCTCCAGCCCGTACGTGCCAAACCACTCGCGTAAGTTGGGGCAGAATATTCAAATTTTTCACCTCATTTCAATAATGTTCGCACCATATGTTCCTTAATTCCCTATAGGTACGCGAAGCCCCCGTGTCCAGGGTCCAGTCCCGGCCCCTAAAAATCTCGAAAAGTCGGACGAACTTTCAAAAATGCCTGAACATTCGAGACGGGTTTTATCGAATTTTTTACTAGGAGGATAATTTAAAAACCTGTTGGAACATACTTTGTGGAACCTTAAGAAACGATTCAGGTTCCAATGATGTCGAAATTTCCAGTATTTCTAATTTCTTTGACTCGATTAATGATATTGTTCTGACTATAAAATGCTACTACAAAACATTTAAAATGTTATTTGACATTGCCGTTAGAAGGGAACGACAAACTATGCACTTTTTGGCATTACATAAATGTTTAGCTGTATCCTAAATGTCCATAAAGAAAATATGTGATTATGGGTAGATATAATCGTTTCCACGCGTTGCAGCTGTCTTTTTTTTTTTAATTTCCTCCCCTAAGTCGCGGCGCGCGCTAATGCATTTGAGGTTGTCGAGCTAGAAGTTTTAACTGATTTTCAGCTCCGAGTAAAGATAGCCACGCAAAACAACAGTTTAAATGTATTCTACTAGACTCTAGAAGACTATCCGTAGCGAAATTATTGCCGAAATAGTTGCACAACACTTAAAAAAATGCAAATGAAAATTGGAAATAATTTTGACGTTCTAAATGACTCCGTCGTTACCCCGGGATAGACATCCGTCTTGACATATAAACTTGCCATTCTTGCCACCTGGATTGCGGCGTTGCCAACCACACAGGGTATATAAGGTATGTATAACTAATACAAGTCACAAAACCACCAACGAATCGCACTATATAGTATCAACCATAATACAAGTGCACCGCAGCAACGTTACGACAATCCTACTGCTGGTATCCATGAGCCGACAACTCTCACGGTGACGTCACAAGGCTCCGCCCACGTGCGCAATATCCTCTTCAGTGTATGTGTATCGTGGTACAGAACTCACACGCATCAGTCTCTCGGCAACCGTCTGCGCAGTGGAATGTCTGCGCGTTCACAGCTCCGTGCAGAGCTCCATTCCGGTCTGGTCTTCATAGCGCAGTCACATTATGTGAACTTGTTGCTCTGACAGTATCGAAATAGTGCGATTTTTCAGATTCGCTACATTCAAAGCATTTATATCGAACTATTAGAGCGTTTCAAGTTGTTGAAATGACCATCGTATAATTACTTCAATGCTACTTTTTTTAGGTTAATAACTGTGACATGCTGGCGATTTTCGATTGTACAAATGAAGCCAGAATTGTGGAACGACTTAATTTTTTTTTCAGCTGATACAATTAATTTCAGCAGTGACGGTTGGGTTTTCTAGGGGTTTTCCTCGTCCAAGTGCGAATGCAGTCACTAAAAAACGATATTCCCGTAATAAAGAGCAGGGAAAATGAAAATCATACTTCTCCTATTAATGATCATGCAATTTTAGATCAAATAATTAATACACATTGTCTTTTTTCAATTGTTGGAAGAAATCCGGCATTCAAAAAGTATTTTATCCTATAAAACTGGGCATTTATAAAAGTATTCAGAGACATTAACGTTCCGCCGCATGTAAATAACAGCTTCTTTTAGTTTTTTGGCAAACATTGCTACGCTTCAAAGTTTATCCCTCCTCCTTCATTGGTATCCCTCAATATTTTATCCAAAGCTTCTTTTTTATAGCATTCCAGCAAAATTGTCTGACGAGCTGGCAACGCCGCAATCTAGGTGACAAGAATGACAAGATCGCATGTCTATCTCGGGGTAACGACGGAGTCATTTAGTACGTCATAACGGCAGTTTTGCAATCTTCATTTGCATTTGTCAAGCGGTTCAAGAAAAATTTCGCTTCGGATAGTCTTCTAGAGTCTAGTAGAGTATATTTCAGTCGCTGTATTGCGTGGCCATGTTATCTTTACTCGGGCCGATTTTCATTATACGGGGTGTGCTTAAGTGCCACGAAAAACTTAAGGAGAAGGTAGGCTTTGGACTGATCTCATAATAACAAAGCCTTACCTATGTAAAAGTGTCACCGTTTTTGAGATATTGAATTTCTACTTAAATTTTAACAAATCTAACCTTTTCATCTGTGGCCTTTAGCTGCATGTACAAATCAGGTTATACTTTGTTCATTTTTTCTATAAAATACTCCTAGATAGTTGCTTTATCGTATACAAATGCAATGTAGTTAAAAGATATTAAGGAACCATGATCAAATAAGGACTATTTTGAGATTTATATCATCTCCTTTTGAAAATATCTACCTGCTTACGTAGTGTAGGAGATTTCATTAAAAAGCAGCTTAGGGCCGTATCGTCAGTCGTCCCTATGCCTACGCCATGATTTTAATAATATTCTTCTGTTGCTTGTCAGCGCCCTATTTTGAGGTTACAAATATCTATTTGCATCAAATTGTTCCTGCTTTCGATTTATATCATCTATTTTATCAGCCTGAAATTTCCTACAATTCAAAAAGAAAACATAACCTCACAATAGAAGAGCGCTGACGCTGACACGGAACACATTTGAAATGAATCAAAATTCCAGTTATGTTGAACTGCATTATTTATTTAGCACCATAGTAGGGCTACAAGGTAGTTTTCATATTTCCATAAAAACCGCATCACGTATTTAGATAAATCGCCGATCGTTGCCTTGAAATGCTTGGCCAATTTGTGGTGGCATATATCTGCAATAAAAATGTGCAGAAATGTGCCACCGGCTACCTATCGCTTTGATCTAAATTAAGCAATCATTCAGATCAGATACGATGTAGAAACTCACGCATCTGTATACATGTAATATTAATGAGAGACATCATGTGCTATTTTAGTATCGTTTTCGTACTTCGCAAATTGACCAATCTTTTAAATAATACGTAATCACCATTATTAACATAATACAATGTGTTATCAAGAGCTTGGATGGTCAACATGTTATTTGATCCTGCACTTTCCAGTTATTTGAGATTTTCTGTTTGAAACAACGTAGGCTCAAGAGAATTCCGCCGATATTCAGTAATGAAAGCAACGTGACGTCGCCAGCTTATCATATTATAATTGTGTTATTTCTCCACAATTAGTTGGTTCCTGTACGGATTGGGAATGTTGCAGGAAAATGAAGAAATGCGGTGAAATCTTAGGAAAAAAAGATGTATTATCTTTAGATAGAAGGCACTCTTATAACTTAAACTCTCAAGCTTTCGAAGATCTTTGTCTTCATCGTCTGGAGTAAGTCGGCGAGATTGTTGCTGAAATTGTTTTTAAACAACATTGAAGGGAACACATAGTCGACGAATGAAAAACTGGACTGATGAGGTTCGATTAGGACGGAATTTTATTATTAAATGGCCAATCGTTTTGAAAGGTTTTTTTAATTAAACGTTGATTGATTTTGGAAGAAACTTCGAGATTTTAAAACTGATTGTAACTGATTTGTAAATGCGTCTGTTTCGTTTTCGATGCGCCACCCTGTATATACAGGGTGACTTCGAAGTTGAGTCATTTATTTTAACAGTGAGTAGATCTGATCAAAAGAAATGTTTTTTCCTTTAACATTTTTCTGGAAAAAATTAAAGTAACAAAGTTATAGTTTGAGTACCGCCCTGTCTCAATAATAATATTATGTGCACGTGTTTGGCAACAACGGATATAATCCGAGTTATCGGTTCATCGCATCGGAAACAAAAAAGCGAAAGAACTTGGAACGATGTTTTTACAATTATTTCATTCAGTTGTATACAGTCAGTGTCAGTCGGTAGTGGATAGTGGTGTCTGTTGCGTGGCTCAAACGAAATAAAAAATGGCACATGTTTATGCGGATCGGTTTCCCAATCGAGTGCAACCAACCCCTCGTGCCTTTGTTAATGTAGTACAACGGGTTCGTGAATCATTTGACTTAAGACCTCACATATGGACGGCATGCCGGTGCTCCAAGACCTCACGATCAAATACAGGTCTGCACTGAAATACTTGTCGGGAGGATACTTTATAAAATAAGGTAAATTTTTTTTTAATTTTTTTTTATTTTTACACACATATTTTGGTTTATCTTCCTTCTACAATCATTATCTGAAAATTAATGACTCAACTTCAAAGTCACCCTGTATATACAAAGTATTTACAAACATAAATATGTATAATATAATGAATGAATGAATGAAATAAAAAGTCACCTCAAGGACGCAAACATTCGTATATTGTCGTTTGTCTCCTGATGAGTTTCTTTAAAATGGCGTCTTGAAATCGTATTTCTGACTTAGGAAGAAGCTCCTGATTTTCTAAAAAACTTTGGATCTGCTTGGTCAGGGTAATATCTTTACCATAATTTGGAATAGCTTCTGTTGGTACTGGAACCTCATCGGCATCAGAATCTTTGGAGTCCTTTTATTTCAACTGGATTTTCAATTTTATGGCTTGAATCAGCATACAAACTTTCATCTAGGTTCAAAAAATCATAACGTCAAATTCTTATTTTTGAGGATATTTAAAAGTACTTTAAGTGGTAAGTCGGCTTCCGGGTCAGGTGTATCAGCCTCATTTAACCGGCTTCACTTTGCATATTTTCATGTTTAAATCCTGCAATTTTCCACTGTTTCTTTGGTTACTCGGTCCCAAGTAATTTTATCTTTTTATGATCCCTTGGTCAAGTGGTTGATAAGCTGATGTATAATTAGATGGTAAAAATAAGATTTTTATATTATTTAAACGAATATCTCCCGAAACTCACAATATTTTTCGTTCCTCGATAATTAGCTCCAGTTTTCTGATTTTGGGACTTCCTTTGGCCTATTTCTAGGCATATTTCGCACATATATTAACCCGCACATTTGTTCTTAAGACTAAGAATGATAGGAATATTTTGTACAACAAGTGCACTAGCCGCTGTTCGCTCTCGGGCGAAAATCCACTCGACGAATTTTTTACCTGTACAGCTGAGA